GACGCGCACATAATTGATTAGTAGAGTGGGCTAACGCCAAGTTTTTCCTCGTTTTGTCGGCAACTCCGCAGGGTGTGGTTTGAAAAGGGCGTGGTCTGCAACCGACACCCTGGAGGGGTGCACCCTCGGGGGGCGGACGGGAACCTCGATTGAGTTCTCCGCCGCGCACGAGGAGGCCCGACGAGGACAGCGTCGTGCTCCCCAGGCCCCAACGGTGTTCGATCGCAAACCACACCCCGGCATAAACAGAAATACCCCTTGCAGTCGCCGACGTTTGGCCTCTAAGGGCCCTCACTGGGACACAAGACCGTCAAAAACGACTCAGGATGCAGAGGCGGTCCCGGGGAAAGGACTGGGACTTCTGGAGACCCCTTATATGTAATAATAGTAGTAATAATAATAGTAGTAGTAATAATAATAATAGTAGTATTATTACTAGTATTAGTATGTATAAGAATAAGAAGAAAAAAGAGAAGCTAGCAACACTACAAGTACTAATAGTAATAATAATGATAACAATAAGAAGAATAATCTCAATAATACTAATCATGCCTAGCATAACACCTTTATCATATATATATGACTGTAACAATAAACAATATGATGATCAGTATTAGTACCCTTGGTAATAATAACAGTACTAATACTAAACATGCTAATACTAGAAAGACAACGAATAAGAATATGAACAATAACAACAATTTATACTTTAGTATATGACAGCATATTTATACAGCGTGTATCAACAATACGATAGCTTGCGCTTTTTTATTACAGCATATATTTATACTTTAAAATATAAAAAGTCTCTCAGGGTGTCCGAAGATCGACCCTGCGCTCCGGGCGCTGCCATGTCTTCACGCGGGGCGCATTCTTGCCCAACTTCGGGCCCCGGGGTCAACACAGGTCAATCTGGCACTAAGAGCGCCGCAGAAGACGGGATCTGGGGTTCCGGTGGTAGTTTTCTGAGATGTTGCAATTGTTCCGCACCGTCGGCTGTCAGGGTGGGATCGAGGATTTCTAGCGTTTTCGTTGGTTCTCGGCGGTTTTCCAGCCTCGGGGTGCCTTCCAGCGGCCGCGCCTCGCCGAGAGCGTTCCCGGGGTGCCTGGATCGCCCCGAACGGCCGCCGGAGACCCGAGTTATCAGGACCATCATGCATGGATCCGGGGCATCCGTCGGAGCGGTGGATTCAGCAAACGCGGCTCATCAAATGTCAGGCCCTGCTATCGCGAAAAATCGCTGTGGCAGCTTCCTGGCCATCTTTGTCCTCGGGGAGCCCTCGTCGGGCCCCGGGGCCGCGAAAGAACAAGTCGGGGTCGGGGCGGAAAGCTGGTCCGCAGTGGAGGGTCCAGACCTCCCCAGGCATCCGCCGTCTTGAACGTCTCAATGAGGGCTCGCCCAAAGGACTGGACCTGTTCTCCAGGGCCAGCTCTTCATCGCGAGTTGTTCTTTGACGGCCCCGGGGCCCGGCGAGACCTCCAGAGGCCGAAAACAACAAAAAACAGTCCGCACTGAGTTTCTCGATGCGCCGAGGTCTTGGCAAGGCGGTTTGGGCTTCCTTTTTGTAACTCGGCCAGCGGCCGTTCGGGGCGATCCAGGCACCCCGGGAACGCTCTCGGCGAGGCGCGGCCGCTGGAAAGCTCCCCGAGGCTGGAAAACTGCCGGGAACCAACGAAAACACACCCTGACATCCGACGCTGCGAAACAATTGCAGCATCAAACAAAAATCGCCACCGGAACGCTCTCGGCGAGGCGCGGCCACTGGAAGGCGCCCCGAGGCTGCACCCTTGAGAGCCGGCGGAAAAGCCTCCGCCTCGGGTTACCGATCTGATGGATGTCTGGATCTCTGGCAGCCGCGCTGCGAAAAAACTCGGCGCGGGAGGTCTGGGCAGGCGCCTGCGGCCGCGGGCGGGGATGGATGCAGGAGGCTTGGAAATGAGCACCAACACCAACACAGGGGGAGGCGAAGGAGGATGATGAGGAGGAGGAAGAGGAGGAGGGGGAGGATGCGGAGGAGGAGGAGGAACAGGAACAGGAGGAGGAGGAGGAGGAAGAGGAAGAGGAGGAGGCGGAGGAGGAGGAACAGGAGGAGGAGGAGGAGGAGGAGGAGGAGGACGAGGAGGAGGAGGAGTTGCCTCCACCAGGGGACGATGATCCTAGGTTTCGGTGTCGGTGGCAGTCTGTCGGTCGCCTGGAAGCCCGAATATGACCACCATCACCGAGATCGGGATCGTCTTCCCTCGGTGGGAGGCACACCGCCGACATTGCCGTTGGTGCTGACCTCTGGGCCTCCGAGGATGGCGGGCAGCGGGCGGGGGGCGGGGATGGCTAGGGGGCGGTATCCGAACCCACCAATCGTCGAGTCTCCTGGATTGATGGGAGGCGGGGATAGGGTGCGGATTTCGCCACGTGTTCGACGGATTCCGAACCCCCGCCGCCCATCGAGGTGCCTGAATCGTTGATCCGTGAAGATGGGATTAGAGGAACAAGCAATGTCACAAAAATAAACAACTTGGAGGTCCGTGCGGATGCCTCGGATCGGCGCTGGGGCCACATGGCGGCGCCTCTGGCGCCGCCCCGGGCGCGCTCAAGCGCGCCAGGGATGGGGGCTCCAGCGCCTATCCGAGGAATCCGCGCGGACCTCCGAGCTTGTGCGCGTTTTCTTATTCGGCGTTTCGACATCGAGCGAAGAGGGGGGGGGAGGGGGGGGTCTGGCTCTGGACCTCTGTTTAGTGCGACTGTTTGCAGCGGTGCGTCCTACGGTGGAGAGACTCCACCTGCTCGAAACAGGCGCCAAAAAACAGCCGAGATCCACTCCAGGGGGGGGGGGGGAGGGGGTGCGAGGACCCGCGCCGATCGGCAAAACAACGAATCAGAAAGCAGTCACCTCGTATGTTGATATCACTGTTTGTTTCCCCTAGGGGAGGGTTCGGACTTCGCCGCCGAGATGGTGGGCTGCGGCAGCGGCGCTGGTGGCCTCGGCCCCACAAAGCGGTTTCGCGGGCGGCACCTGGGCGTGGCGCGCGGCGGCGGCCGCCTCGGGGCTTTTCGGGCGTTTGCGCCGGCTCTCGGCGGTGTGCCAGCCGCCTCGGGGTGATGTTTTGTGGTGCTGCACTTTTGTTCGAAGCGTCGGATCTCGGGGGGGGCTCGAGGTGTGCGGGCGCTGTCGTCGGTGCCCTGCAGTGTTCCAGGCCTCGGGGCGAATTTCTTGTGATGCTGCAATGCTGTTCGCAGCGTCTGATTTCAAGGGGTCGAGTGGGAGATCGACTACAGAATTGATGTGCCCTAAAATACGGCGCGCTTCGTCGAATATACGACAAAATACATGGGATGTTCGCAGATATGCACACATTCTACGTATATGTTTGCAAGTGTCGAGGTTTTCGGGCGTATTCGTCGGTTCTCGGCGGTTTTCCAGCCTCGGCGTGCCTTACAGCGGCCGCGCCTCGCCGAGAGCGTCGACAAACGGCGACCGACGACGACGACGACGACGACGACGACGACGACGACGACGACGACGACGACGACGACCGACGACGACGGCAACGGCGACGGCGACGGCGACGGCGACGTTGACGGCGACGGCGACGGCGACGGCGACGGCGACGGCGACGGCGACGGCGACGGCGACGGCGACGGCGGCGGCGGCGGCGGCGGCGGCGGCGACGGCGACGGTGACGACGATAACGACGACAACGACGACGACGACCGCGGCTGCAGAGGCTGCGCCCCAAACGTGGCCCCGACGGGCCTCGAGGCGGCGGCCGCGAGGGACCAGGCAGCGTGCGAGCGACGGCGAGGTGCAACCGAGGCGAGCTGGGACACGAGAGGAAAGGGGAAGCGAAAGTCGTATGTGGCACGCTGAGTCAGCAGCGTCATGCCGCCCTGGGACTCCCCAGCTCTGTGTGGCGTCCATGCGGGGACCACGTGCTCGGAGAGCTACCGCCCTGCGTTGCGCCCATTCGTCTTGTCAAAGGTTGAAAGCTCATGTGAGCCAAATGCTTGTTGGTGGTCATTGCCCTGTCCTACATTTTACACTCGGCCGCGCAGGCATATCCAGAGCAGTTGGAAGTCGGCGCTAGCTCGACGCAGGCGCCTTCAAAGCATTGCGATGTGCAACCTCCTGCAGCAATCTCAACAACGACGACGACGACGACCTCGACAACGACGACGACGAGGAGGACGTCGATCTCAACGACGATCTCGACGACAACGATCTCGACGACGAAGATGTCGACGACGACGATCTCGACGACGACGATGTCGACGACGACGACGACGACGACAACGACGACGACGACGACGACGGCGACCTCGACGACGATCTCGACAACGACAACGACGACGACGACGACGACAAACAACGACGACGACGAGGTCGCGCGCGCAAGCGCGCGGCGGAAGCCCGCCCTGGCAGGGGCCCCAGTCGCCGGGCACCCAGTTGCCGATCTGGGAGAGGGGGGAATTTGCAACGCGGTCCTCCTCTTCTGCGCCACGTCCTTATCATCGTCTCCCCGTCTTCCTCTCCTTCTCATCGTTTTCCCTCCTCCTCATCCTCCTCCTCCTCCTCCTCCTCCTCCTCCTCCTCACCATCATCTCAAGCAATTTCGGCTTGCCGCGAGCGCTGGGGCGCTCGGGCGGGCCGGCCTGCGATCACGTACCGGCGTGGGTCGGGCAGCGGCGCTGCTCGTGTGAGGGGGGCCGCCCGAGGAGGCGGCTGCGGAAGCGTCGCAGGACGACGGAGATCGGCGCGGCGCACTCCCGTGGCCTCGCCAGACCATGGCGCGAGGAGGTCGCGGTGGTCAAGGACGAGGCCGAGGCGGAGGTGCAGCCCAGTGGCCGTGGCGGCAACAAGGCGGAGGCGGGGGAGGCCAACGCGGCAACAGCAGGCCCCGATCCGCCAGCCAGCGCAGACGTGGGGAGTACCTCGCGTGCCCCAACTGCCCGCGTGGGGAAAGTTGACTGTGGGCCAAGTGCGCGGACACGCCTGGCTGGGAAGGTTGCCGCACGTGCCGCTACAACTGGCCAGAGACGGCAGCCGCAGACAGCAAGCAAGATGAACTCGCCAAGCAGGCACTCGCGAAGCTCGGCCTCGACCAGGCCAGCCTGCCGGCCCTGCAGGCAGGCGCCACGGCCGCCGAGGCTGGGGACGGGGCCGCGGCGGAGGCAGCCGCCCAGCTGGCCAAGCTCCCCGTGCTCACGCCTGCGCCGCCAGAGCCACCGCCGCCCGAGCCCAAGCTCGGGGTGCGCCTGGAGGCCGCGGCCCTGCGCCGGCGCCAGGCCCAGCAACACCAGGAGAAGGTGGCAGGGCAGCTCACGCGCAACGAGCAGAACCGCAAGGAGCTCATCACGAAGCTGGACGAGGCCATCGGAGAGACCCTCGCGGCCAGGCAGGTGCTGGACCTCCTGCAGCACGAGGTCCAGCAGGCCGGTGGAGGCAAAGGCGCGGTGGCCGACGACACCAGCACCACCGCGGCGCCCGACGCGAAGGTGGACTTCCCCGAGCTCGACGAGGAGGACCTCGAGCTGCTCGACGAGCCCGCCCAGGCCAAGGGTATGCTCGAGGCTTGCAAGAAGGAGGGCTGCTCGGTCAAGGAGGTGTCGGCCACGCTCCGCGAGCTGCAGGCCAAGGTCCGGTGCCACAAGCGAAGGCGCGGAGAAGACGGCAAGGGCGCTGCTGCCCCGCCGCCACCGGAGGCTGAGGGCAGTCCCAAGGCGGCCGAGGCAGGAGGCGCGGGCAGCAGTGGCGGCAGCGGCCCCGTCGACTTCTCCGACCCCGACCAGATGGCCAAGTACATCGAGCAGACCGCCCAGATCAAGGCCCGCCAGAAGGTCGCCGTCGCGAAAGGTGGCAGCGTCGTTCCCGACAAGGCTGCCCCTGCTGCTGCTGAAGACCCTGCCCCTGCTGGCGGGGCCAGTGCGGGCGGCCCCCGGCAGGCTCCCGGGTGGCAGAGGTAACGACGGCGCGGCGGCAGGAGGCGACTCCGTCGCGCTCGGCAAGAGAGGCGGCAAGAGGCGCGGCCCGGGGGCGCCAGTCCCGCTGGGAGCTTGGGGCCCAAGTACCTGGTCACGCACTTGGCGGCAGCCTGCGACACATCGCCCCGACCACCGCCGAGGGAATCCTGTCTTCCTCAACGGGCAGGGCAGTAGCCACTACTGCGACGACATGAACTCCACGCAGGTGCGCTTCGAGGGCGACGTGCACTGGGGACGGGGGCCCGACTGCCAGCAGCAGTCATCGTCCCAGCACACGAACGACATCGACAACATGCGGGACCGCCTGTGGGGGAGGCGTCTCGCCGAACCCTTCAGGGGGCCTCGATGACAGGGCGGCTGGCAGCCCAGCGGGAGCCAGCGCGAGCACGGAGACCAAGGAGTGGAAGTGGCAGGTCTCCACCATGGGCAGCTGGTGGCCGCTCAAGCACCGCGAGTGCCTGCAGGTCTTCTTCGGCAGCTGCAGCCAGTGCAACGACGCGGCCAAGGCTTTCGTCGAGGCAGGCCAAGCGTTCGACCTGCTCGGCTTGGCGGAGCACCACCCTGGCAAGGAGCAGTGCGACGCTGAGGAGCAGCGCCTCAGGAAGTTCGGTTGGCGCTCACTTCACTCGTGGACAGCTGCCACCCCCAGCAAGCAGGCAGCACCGCCTGACGAGCGTGCTGGCACGCATGGGGGCACATGCTGGCTTCGGCGCAACGAGCTCAATACCTTCTCGCACTTGGCTGACAAGACGGGACGAAGTGTCTTCCACGACCAGTTGACAGCCGCCACGGTCACGATCGCTCGCGTCCAGAACGGCGCCTTCGCGTTCATCAGCTGTTATCTGGACTGCAGCATCGGCCTCCAGGGTGCCAACGCCACGAAGATGGGCAATCTGTTGAGGCTGACGCGCTCACTGGGTGTGCCGTGGTTCATCCTGGCAGACTTCAACTGCACCCCTGAGGAGATGTGATCCCCACGATGGCCTCGTGCTCTCGAAGGCCGCCCCCTACTGCCACGCGATGCTGACATCGCGTGCACCAATGGGCACGGCAGGATTATCGAATGCGTCATCTTTTCCGAGAGCGCACGGCCTTTCGTTCGTGGGCCTGGGGTCGTCCGACGGGCACCCTGGGGGGGGTCATCTTGGGCCACGGCTCACCACTGCTGCCAGACCTGGAGCAGTTCAAATTCGCGTGCCAAAGATGGCGCGCAACCGCGAGGTGCCGAACGCCCAGCTGCAAAGTGCACAAAGGTGTCACCCGCGCCCAGCGGGACCGCCACCAGTACGACCAATTCCTGGAGGATGGGATGTGCGAGGCCGACCTGGAAGCACAACTACATCTCCTCAGCGACACGTGCACCAAGACGGTGCCAACGGCATGCGGCCTCGACGGCTGGGACCCAGCAGTCCAGATGTTCGTGGAGCACCAGGTCGATAGCCCCCCCCCCAAGCTGGATTGCACGCTCGCTCGCGTACCTGGCCAGTCCTCCTGGCGCCGACTACCTGGGCCAGCGGTTCGGCAAGTGGGCCATGGCCGCCGAGCACTGCCTAGCCACCCTCTGCGATATGCCGCGCCGCGGAGCACGGCGCGCAGGGGCCAGCCGTCTCAGCCGCTACCCTTGCCAAGCAGCATCGGGACAACCGTGAAGGTGCCAGGCGGCCAGAAATCAACATGTGGGGCACCCCGGCGGGCCGGGTCACCGAGTTGATGAAGATCGCCCCCCGAGGGAACCAGAACTCCGAGGCGCACGTCTGCGAGGTGATCAACAAGACGTGCCAGGACACCCTCGCCGCGCAGCAGATCACCTTGACCGGGGAGTGCGAGGATATCAGGGCCCTTCGCTGCGCCAAGGCGCTCACCACCACCACGAGCGCCCCAGACAGCGACGACGACGAGGACGTCTGACAGGACACCGTCGACCCCGTCCGCGTGCGAGCCGAGGCGCACCTCAAGCAGGCGCGGCAGGCGACCGAGACCTCGGCGCGCCACTGGACAGAGCAAGCCCTGCAGGGCTCCATGGGCGAGGGGCACAGGTACCTCAGCAAGCCCGAGCACAAGGAACTCAGCGAGGTCACCATCGACCCCGCTACTGGCACTGCTGCAGGGGACTTGCAAGAAGGTGGTAACTTACGGGCCTCAGCGCGGGGGGCACGGTGGCAACGGGGCACTGATTCTTCGGACCTGAAGCTGGCCATGGACGAGCTTCGCGAGAAGGCCCACCAGGCGAACCAGACGCGCACCGAGTACACCTGCGAGGACCTGGACAAGGCGCTCAGGCAGTTCAAGAAGAAGACGGGGCGAGGTAGCGACCAGTGGAGGCCCACGGAGATCCCAGCGCGCCAGGACTTGGTTGACATCATCAACGAGTGCGAGAAGAGGCTGGCCGCACCAATGCTACCACGTCTGGTACCATCCGCTGAGGAAGAACGATAGCGCGGTAGCAAAAAAAGACGGACCCATCGGCCCCTTCCCCATGGTGGTCAGAATCTGGGGCCGCCTCACCAAGACAGAGGTCGGCCAGTGCTGCGACGACAAGGCGGCCTTCTGGGACGCAGCGGCGGCAATCAACTCGGCCCTCCAGGCCTTCCTGGTGGCGGCTTGTCTGGATGAGGTAGCTGCTGGGCTCTCCGCTGAAGCCTGGGCCAGTCTCCCCATGGATCTGGAGAAGTTCTACGACGACATCAGCCTCGCCAAACTCAGCCACCTGGCCGCAGCCTTGAAGCACTCGCCAGTCGAGCTGCACGCGTGCTCCCCGATGCACGCGGCGCCCCGCGCGGCACGCGCAGGAGGTGCTCGGGGGCCGCCTGTGGCGCCGTGCAACAGCACCGTGGCAGGCTGCGCCCATTCCAGCAACTCGGCTCGTGTGGTGCTGCACCTTGCCCACCGGCAGGCTCCAAAGGCGCGGCCCCGACAGCACGTGGGCGACATCCAGATCCGATCGGAGGGCCACGCCAGCATCGTGGCACGCCAACCTGCTACCAGCACCGAGGCGATCCTCACCCGCTGCGAGAACGAGCAGCTGCCAATCTCCAACAAGTCGGCCCTCCTGTCCACGCCGGCTACCGCGAGGGATGCGGTTGGCCAGGTGACTGCGGACCACGGGCTCACCACCCAGGCCACCGCCGTGAAGGACCTGGGCTGCGACGCGGCCTTAGGGGGGCGCAGGCGGAAGGTCACGCGGCGCAAGCGCACCGCCCTGGCCAGGCAACGCTAGCGCCGAGGCGTGCTGTTCATACGCGCGGCCCGCTGGAGACGGTGAGTAGCGAGCCTATACCGCACCAAGATTCGGGACCAAGCAGCAGCACGAGCAGGCAGCCGTGGGGATAACGCCCCAGGAGATCCAGCGCACCCGAGCGGAGGCAGCGGACATGGCGGGATCACTGCGGGGCACCGTTGCACCGCGACCGCCCTCGAGACCACCCATGGCGCTAAGGAACCGTGGACGGCCAGCGTCATCAGGCAGGTCCGCGAGTGGGTCAAGATGTGGCGAGGCAACACCGACCTACACGACCACTTCCGCTGGGGCTGGCGCGCCGTCAACGAGCACCTGAGCAAGGTCACTAAGCGAGGGCGCTGACAAACAGCCACTGGGCCCATGGCCGCTATGCAGCTCACGCTCGAGCTTCTCGGTTGGTCGGCAACTGAGCCCGACCTCTGGACTGACCACACGGGCGCCCAGTGGCAGATCACCGACAACGACTCTGCGGACCTCGCTGAAGTCGAGGCTGCTATCAAGGAGGCGGCAGGGGCCTGTCTCTGGAGGCAAGCCAGCCGACGCCCTGAAGGCCAAGGACTTCAAGACGGGGCTGATGTTCGTAGTCTGCAGGAGAGTGCCAGGCACTTCCGCAAACTTGAACGACACCAAGAAGCTAGAGCCCTCGAAGTGGCAGCGTGCGCAGCCATCTGGACCGATCAAAAGTGCCACGCCGCGGGGTACAAGACGGCATCTACATGTGCGCGATGCGAGCTGGGGGTCCACGACACGCCGATCCACCGCATCTACGAGTGCCCAGCCACCAAGGAGTTCGACCACCCCTGGATCGACAACACGAACGACCTGTGCCCCAGAGCTCTGTCAGTGCGGGACGACCCAATGGAGATGGCGTTCTGGGCGCGTGGCTTACTGCCCACGAGTATGTGCCCAGTGGACCCGCCCCCGCCTTGGGGCAGCCTCGAGGACGCGCGCTGGACGGTCAGCGACGAGGGCTTAACTTGGGAACGAGGCACGACCACAGCCACACGGGCAGTCACCGATGGCTCTGTGATTACGTCGGGCTCACGCACGGCACGTGCGGGCTGGTGCGTTGCACTGGAGCTGCCGCCAGGAACTGAAGGCTATATCTAGCACGACGCGTACCCTGGCTGGTTCGGCATGCTCGACGGAGACTCGCAGCAGCTGAGCTAGCCGCCATCACGTGGACCTTGAAGCTCACAAGAAGGCCCATCGACATAATCTCGGGCTCCCAGATGCTCGTTGACAGCTGACACAGCCTCAACTACATGAACCCTATCGGACCGTTGGCCCGCTGGCGGGCCAAACTACGCAGGGTCATTGGCAACAGTGAAGGGGGCATCGTGGGCGTCACCGTCACCAAGTGCTTTTCTCACGTCGACACCCCCACCATCAGGAGGACGCGGCATCCCATGGACGTCACGACAGGTAATGAGATGGCCGACCGTTGTGCTCAGGGAGGTGCCGAGATCGCGGCCAACCTCATTGCTCCACAGGTGGCGGCCCTATCACAGCTTGAACGGATATTGCGACAAGTCCATCGGCGCATTGGCGCGGCCACGGCACATCTGGCCAGTCTGGGGCACCCCAACTTGGAGCGGGACCGTCGCGCGGGAGCGCATGGGCAATCCTTCGAGTACCGCAAACAGCTGGAGGCAACCACTGGGCACCGCATGTACACGCGCACCGATGGCAAGTGAAGCTGCTTGGAGTGTGGCCAGGGGCCTGGTGAGCACTCGCTCACGGACTGGATGCAGAACCGCGCTTGCAGCTCTATGCCCATGGTTGCCAACATGCGCGACCACGCCACGTTCGTCAACAAGAGCGGATACGCCAAGATGCTGCCGAACGGGCCGATCCACTCCAGCCACAACCTCAGCTACCTCTATGGCCAACGCTGGTGCTGGACATTCGGAGCCACGGAATCACTCAAAATCAATGGCAATAGCCGGGTCCTGCGACTCAAGCTCCCCTGCCGTGGTTGGAAGATTCCCACTGCCATGCCCCAACTGGACAGGCTGCGAAAAGGACGACCAACGAAGCCTGGAAAAACGCAGTGGCCAGACGGCGCCCCAGTGCCAACGGGCCAGCAGAAGAGGCGCAAGATCAAGTCGAGGACAATGGCCCAAGCCCGCATCGTCATAACGAAATCGAAGCATCGTGGACTTCGGCGACGCGGTGCAAACGCTAGCCAGGACAGGGGGTTCTCCGTCCCGCCAGCGGGCGTCGGGGCAAAGCCTCCGCAGCCCCTCGGGGCACCCCGCTCTGCTTGCCGCAGGGGCCAGAGCGGGGGCGGGGGCGATGCGTGCAACCTGCTGGCTGACCAGGAGATGCCGTCGCCACCAGTATTGCTGGAAACTGGGGCCGAAGGCGGAGCTGCCGAACCAGCTGAGAAGCGAGCGCGCTTACAACAGGGACCTCGGCCGACTACCACGGGCGCGAGCAACCAACATGCTGGACGTGACCAGGAAGGTACCCAGTCCTCAGCTAGGCTGGGGCCCACTTCGCCGCCATGCCAGGATGCGGGAAACAGGCCAGGGACACCGACGGAGGTACTGCCTGAGCCAGCCGACCACGAGAATCGAGGGCTCAACCATGAGAAGACCAAACAGCAGGCCACCGACCCGTACATCCTGGAGGCTGAGGAACAAGTGGCCCCTCTGCAACGGAGGCTGCAGCAACTGGCACAACGATTCTTCATCGGGGCTGAACGCAGATGGCTGGACGGCTGCATAG